ACTATTTTCTCTTGTTTTGCTATAAACCATCCTATTCAACTGCATGACTTTCTAGTGCCTTTGGGTTCGTTGTCGAGCAAATCGAATCTTTCATATTAGAATTTTGCTATTTTTTATGACAGGTGATTTTGTCGAATTCCATATAACCCTCATAAGTTCCCAATACATGCACTATTATTAACTTCATATCCTTATCCCTACTTTTAATTAATGTAATTTCCAATTATTCTTTATTGGGACATTTTATGACGTCAATAATTAAATAGATAACCAATTTTGTTATTGTAGGTTTGGTCTCCTGTCTTACTCACTTAATAAGAAATCCATTTATTGACTGCAAATTTCCGCCGATGGTGCTGCTATTTTGATCCCTCTTACTTCTGATCTTGTTCATAGGTTATAAACAGCGTGCAGGTCTGGTGTGCCCAAGGAGCGGGCGATTCTGATCAGATGACGTTAGCCCGTAAGGATCTTCAGCTAAGCCCATTCGATGTGGTTCGCCGTGTACTCTGTCCCGATACCGGAGGTCCCGACGGTGTTCCAGCATCTGTAGGCGATTGCATTGAGCTATTCTTTCAAGATTATGGTTTGGGTCCCCTTTTTGTTCAGGAGAACTATCTGCACGTCAAGCCCAAGGCCTCTCAGTAAGCCATACACTTCTTGTTTCTTTAGTAGCTTTATTCTTCGAAGAACCCTAAGGCTTTTGACGGCTTAATAGGACTCTTAATTTAGTATATATTCACTTAAATCTAAATAAGCTTAGTATGTAGTTGATAGTTTTAACTTGGAACTATTTTTCTGCCTTTTACCAATTGATGTAGACCACTAAGTAATTTGGGATTCCTTAGCCTAATTTTTATACTAAGTCTTAGCTTTATTAAACTTGGATTTTGGAGTTCGGAGTTGCTTCTAAATAAGTAACAGTCACCAGAAAATCCTTATATTATTGCATAAAGCGACATACTTAATATGATTTCATTATACTGATTCCGTTAGGCAATTGATGAGCCTTCATCTTTCTTATGATAATCACCATACAGGTCACTCGAACTCATTCCGACCCAGAATTTAGTTAGTAAGTCTGTTTAGTTCATTCCTATACTTTAAATTGCTCGATCTTATTTGATAATAAAATATGTGATTTGCTCTGCTACGCTCTTGCTATTTATTGCTTTTTCAACT